CCATATGGCATCGAACCCAATAAAGCAATCTGACGCTACTCTCTTGGTGCGCGTTTCTTCCTGCATCCTAGACCGACGCAGGGTGGTACCACTCTTTTCATTCTTTGCCTTCCGCGCTGTGTCCGTACATCTGCCTCTTGCTCGACATTTTGAAGCATTTGTCTTCGATCGGAACTCGGGCGTGTGCCAAAAGCTTGCTGCAATGAGCGGGTTTGCTGTTAACACAGGAATCAATATGGCTCCGGTTTTCCTGTTGGATTCCCTTTGCGCCCCAAGACAAGGTACCCTGAAAAAACGCGCACAGTTTGAACTCGTCGAAAGAAGCAACATGTGTCGGTGCGATTGAGCCTGCGAGGCAGTGGGAGAGGATGGTAACATTCTCGATGATGATATCTTGCAGGCTGGGTCGCAAGGCTTTGTTTCTCTCAGCGTTCGCGTCTCTCTCCCTCCCGACCTCCCTCCGTCCCTCCCTCCGTCCCTCCCTTCCTCCTTTCCATTTGTGCAGAACAAGACTTGAAGGGCTCTCAGCTCACGCCTGGTGCGCAGTGAGCTCGTGGGATTCCAAGCCGCGCGGAGGACTCAGAACTGCCAAGGACTCATCAAATGCAGCAGGTTTCCCTCTTGCGTGGTGCTTCATGGTTGAGGGCATCTCCATTTTGCTCTGCGATTTCGAAACCACAAATGCTCAAGCGGAGTGTGGTGGTGTTTATTGGGCGGTCCACTGGATGTTGTGGAGGCAACCAGAATCTGGCCAGCAATCTGATACAGCAACTAAGGAACAACTGGAATCGTTGGGCATGGACGACTCAAACAACATGTTCATCTTCTCACTGGCACCCCCGCAAACGAATCATGAGCTGGATTGTGGAGGCAACTCCGAGAGAATTGTATCTAGGCGCTGTTTCAGGACCCCACTTTCCCGGGGATGTTTCGTGTGGGGATGGTTCCCGTGTGGGTGTTTCCAAAAATTAGTCAAGGGACCCACCCCCCAAACAGGTTGGGTTTCTTCTGCGACTTGGCGACCAGAAAATCTGGGCTCTGGAACATGTCTGGGGTCAGTCACGTCGTCGTTACCATCTGTAGGCTCTTGGACTGGCTGTAAGAGACGGACAGGCGGATGCTTTCATGTTGCTAGCCTTTCATGGGCTGAAGGGACCCATCGAGCGGAGGTGTTTAGATTCGCTTCTCAGAGTTGGCAAGGTGAGAGTAGGGTCTCCGTTACACCAAAACGCAGCGGAGAAACCAACCTTAGGTGTCCGTTACACCTTCTAGCCCTTCAGTTGGAGCATTCGAAGCAATATGGGAACCTGGAAATTTTGTTACCCTGACTTGATGTCCGGTGCCCATTCTATCCAGATCACTTTTCGGGCAACTCCGGTTAGCATGAAGAAGGCCTTGCAAGTGGTTCCCATTCGGCCACATGTCGAACCGGGTGCATTCGGCCTGTCCAACTCCAGATCATCGCAAACTACGAGAGCGAGCTCTTTACGACGGTGGACGGGGCAGAGCTGAACTACAATGGCGAGAGCAGGCCTTCTGCCTGGGACCAGGCGCGTTGGACTGAAAGGCGTAAGGTGTCGGTGGATGATACCTGGGATTGCAACTGGGAAAGCCATCTGAGTTCACTTCATTGAGCCGTCATGCATATTGCAATCATTCCATCATTGCTTCCCCCATATGTTAAACAGGTTGGCGCACAGCACAAAAGTTGTGTTTGCGGCTTCCTGGCTCGCATCTTTTTGCTTGCCCTGGCAGGATCAAGTCCTGGCAAGTGACAACCCGAGGTAAGCAAAGAGCCACCTCTTTGCCCAGAACCTCATTTCAGGTGTCCGCCCAAAAACGAGGGGGGCTGGTGGTGGTGGTGGTGGTGGTGGGTGGGTGGGTGGGTGGGTGGGTGGGTGGGTGGGTGGGTGGGTGGGTGGGTGGGTGGGTGGGTGGGTGGGTGGGTGGGTGGGTGGGTGGGTGGGTGGGTGGGTGGGTGGGTGGGTGGGTGGGTGGGTGGGTGGGTGGGTGGGTGGGTGGGTGGGTGGGTGGGTGGGTGGGTGGGTGGGTGGGTGGGTGGGGTGGGTGGGTGGGTGGGGTGGGTGGGGTGGGGTGGGTGGGGTGGGTGGGTGGGTGGGTGGGTGGGGTGGGTGGGTGTGGTGGTGGGTGTGGTGGGGTGTGGTGGGTGGGGTGGGTGGGTGGGTGTGGTGGGGGGTGGGTGGGTGGGTGTGGTGGGTGGGTGGGTGGGTGGGGTAGGGTGGGTGGGTGGTGGGGGTGGTGGGTGGGTGGGTGGGGGGTGGTGTGGGTGAGTGGGTGGGTGGGTGGGTGGGTGGGGGGTGGTGGGTGTGGGTGGGGTGGTGGTGGGGTGGGGGTGGTGGGTGGGGGTGGTGGGTGGGTGTGGTGGGTGGGGTGGGGTGGGTGGGGTGGGGTGGGGTGGGGTGGGTGGTGGGTGGGTGGGTGGGGTGGGGTGGGGTGGGTGGTGGGGTGGGGTGGGGTGGGTGGGGGGTGGGTGGGGTGGGTGGGGTGGGTGGGGTGGTGGTGGGGTGGGGTGGGGTGGGGTGGGGTGGGGTGGGGTGGGGTGGGGTGGGGTGGGGTGGGGTGGGGTGGGGTGGGTGGGTGGGGTGGGTGGGTGGGGTGGGGTGGGTGGGGTGGGGTGGGGTGGGTGGGGTGGGTGGTTGGTGGTTGGTGGTGGTGGTTGGTGGTTGGTGGTTGGTGGTTGGTGGTTGGTGGTTGGTGGTTGGTGGTTGGTGGGTGGTGGTTGGTGGGTGGTGGTTGGTGGTGGTGGTGGTGGTGGTGGTGGTGGTGGTGGTTGGTGGTTGGTGGTTGGTGGTTGGTGGTGGTGGTTGGTGGTTGGTGGTTGGTGGTGGTGGTTGGTGGTGGTGGTGGTTGGTGGTGGTGGTTGGTGGTGGTGGTTGGTGGTGGTGGTTGGTGGTGGTGGTTGGTGTTGGTGGTTGGTGGTGGTGGTTGGTGGTGGTGGTTGGTGGTGGTGGTTGGTGGTGGTGGTGGTTGGTGGTGGTGGTGGTGGTGGTGGTGGTGGTTGGTCGTGGTGGTTGGTGTTGGTGGTTGGTGGTGGTGGTTGGTGGTGGTGGTTGGTGGTGGTGGTTGGTGGTGGTGGTGGTTGGTGGTGGTGGTGGTGGTGGTGGTGGTGGTTGGTCGTGATCGTGGTCGTGGTCGTGGTCGTGGTCGTGGTCGTGGTCGTGGTCGTGGTTGTGGTCGTGGTCGTGGTCGTGGTCGTGGTCGTGGTCGCGGTCGCGGTCGCGGTCGTGGTCGTGGTCGTAGTCGTGGTCGTGGTCGTGGTCGTGGTCGTGGTCGTGGTCGTGGTGGTGGTGGTGGTGGTGGCGGCGGCGGCGGCGGCGGCGGCGTTCCGACTTGTGGTTTGTTTTCTTTGGTGGAATCCCCAGGTTTGGGCAATCCATGAGGGATATGGGGGAAATCGTGGCATTTTCCACAGGAAAGCCACCGTGTTCAGGACTGGTGCCTTCTGAGCTACGGCTCGCTGCCCATGTCCACCCCCAAGTGCTCTGCGGGCATCGGCGCCCTATCTTTGCATTTTTTCTATTTTTTTTCTTAGCTTTGTGTTGTTTAGATAATCCAGGAGGTGTCGTGGGCTTGAATTTTTGGGTGACAACTTTCTGGTCTCGTAGAGGGGTTGCCTTTGGACAATGAGTGGCCCCTCCCCCGAATGTTGCATAAGTACTGCCCTCAATGATACACATTCCCAGAAGTCCGTGTGTTTCGACCAAACGGTCTTCAGCCGTTCCCGGTCAACATCTCGATTTCCACGCGACGCCCTTGCAATTCCAAGTTGAAGGGCGCTGAGCAACTGAAATGGGCAACTCAAAATTGAATTGTACGTTTACAATCCAGATGAAGTTGTTACCCAAAAAGGGGCGATCGAAAGCCAAGGGGAGTCCCCGATTTTCGGATGCAGCTCCCTCCCTTCGGCCTTTTTCGAGCCAGAAGCTTCGGGTTCGGAGCAGTTTTGGTTCCAAAGTTGGGGATGCCACCTCGGTCTTGTCCAGGCTAAGAATCATCCCGCGTATCCCCGACAGACGCCCCAGCTGATGTTGCTGCTGCTGCTGCTGTTGCTGCTGATGATGATGATGATAATGATGGGAACATGGGATTGGCTAGTAGCCAGAGGCAACCCATGATGTTGGGCGCTGCTCACAACTCGAACTCGAATCGAACCCTTCCAAGTGATCAACAAGGGCTTGAAAAACCGACCCCGGCGGCAGGTGGGATCTGTTTGGCTTATTCTCCACATGATAATTAAATTATTCATGCTCTCAAGCAACGGCCACGTGGCTGCTTATGGAAAGCACTCGGGTTTTTCGTTTTGCCACTTACCAGAAGAAACCTGCCAGGGTCGCTAGCGTAGAAAGCTGATCAAAAGCGGACGTTGGCAGGGCAGCCTGGCTTCAGGAAGAACGCAGGTTGAACAGGGAACTGTGGCCTTTCACGTGCATCATCATCATCATCATCATGATCATCATCATCAGCAGCAGCATCAGCAGCAGCATCAGCATCAACATCAACATCAACGTCAACATCATCATCAACAAACAACAACAAACAACAACAACAAAACATATTTTTTTGGCGAAGGGAAGCTCTTTCCGGAGTATCGCCGAGCCCCATCCGGACGGGAACGGCTTCACCGGATCCTTAGGCCCCACGAACGTCTTCTCCATGAACACCGCTGGGCGCGCGAAGACCAAGGAGCTGATCACGCAGGTTGGAAAGCAAGACAAGAGAGAGGTGTGAACATAGCTTTTGTTTGGTTCTACTGAGAGCAATCTCCATCTACTCTTCCAAAAACACATCCATAGGAGTGACTGGACAGCCTTCTCGCGTTTTTTGGTTTTCGACCAGCACGGCCGTCTCACTGGCATGCGAGTTCCGAAATTTACCTCGTTGATTCCCCCAAGACATGCAAGCCACGATCAGCAGGCATGGATTGGGGCAGGCTTCAAGAACCAGTGAAGACGTGGGATGACCATGTTCCTTGTTTGTCTCCCAAGAGCAGCGTCCATTTCCTTTTCTCCCTGGGCAAGCCGGGGGAAGTTGAACGCTGGGAACATCTTTCCCAAACCGCGGGACCCAGAAGGCAAAACGAAAAACACCTCGAGGATTCCCAGGTGAGTCCTCGCGCACGAGCCATTCGGCCTTTTTTCGGGTCTTTGGCAAACACTTTTGTGGGCCAAACAAGTGGACGGCTGATCTTTCAACTGTCCATGGGGCTAGAATGGGTGTGTCTTTTGTTCAGTGTACCCCTTTTTGTGGCAGGTGTTCAGGGGAACCAGCAGCAAAACCATCATGTTGGGGGGTCCAAGCTTACAAAAAGACACACTCAAAAAGTGGGAGAATGCAAAACACATCTTCGGAGCACCCGAGGGGTCAAGCCGCCAAGCCGCCCAGCCGCCAAGCCCGCCAGCCCGCCAGGGCCACAACATGATGGGCGGCGGGGCTTTGGCCTGCCTTTGTGGGGACAGCGACACCTGCGGCATGTGCAATGCCGACGGGTCTGTGAAGGGTATGGCAGGTGGGGGGGCACGGCTGGGGTGAGCAAAGAGGTCCGTGATACGTGGGATGACCAGGTTGAAAGACACTGAAAGGATGTGACATGTCCGACATGGGAAAAGTGGCGCATCGTTTGGGGGCCAGGAATATTGATCAACCCCATGGCTGGAGAGGGATTGGGTTGGTCAAGCGAGAGACCCAAAGGAACCGAACCTTTCAACAGCCACCGGCACAGAGTCTCCAGATGGCACTCTTTTTCGTTTCGGCTTCCAATCCACGCAAGGATACATCATGTATGCTGCAATCCACCGGTTTTGTGGGCACTAGGACCTGAGAGTCGCTGTTGACTCAAAGAGATTCCGAAAGTCTGCAACAACTAGCGGGTTGAGCGTCCCAGCAGTTTTCGAGTTCTATTCTCATGCTGAACTCGATTTGTGTTGCTACTGACGTCTCATGTGCGGGCATTGTGTCTTGGTTTCTCCTTTTTCTTTCTAACGCTAGGAATCGCTGTTTTCTTACAACTTATCTCTGGAGTCTCCTTAGGTTTGCATGTGGCATTCAATATTGATTCATTCATATATTGGTATATTATTTTTGCATCATTTGTCTTCACACATCTCATGCTGCTGCACACACACACACACACACATATATATATATATATATACGGACATATATATATATATATATTATGTGTTTATGTATCTATGTATATTAATAATTTGGACAAACCGGGTCAGATCCAACTGCCAGTCGGAGGGAGCCCAAATAAGCCCTAAATAAGGCCTTATGAAGCGCTTAATAAGGGCTTATTTGGGCTCCCTCCCCCCTCTCCTCCCTCGCTCCCAGCCCCCATGATGCTCTCACGGCGCAGGTGCCAACATGACGGCGCTGATGATGGGGGACCAAGCGGAACTCACAAGCCTCTTGGGACAGTGGCCCACCAGCATCACCTCGTGCCTCCTGGGCTTTGTCACCACTCTGGAGCAGGAGAAGTCTCGGAACCGATTGAGTCGCCAGAGAAAAATGCCTCTTTTACCGGTAGCCCAATTTGGGCTGCAAATTCCAACAGAGGTCCCTGGTGCGATTTGGGTATGGGTCAAAATTAAGCCACCAGGGGACCACTGGTTTTAGTCGATGTTTTTTTCCAATTTACCGGGGCAAGCCATTTTGGGGTTGCCCTACTTTTGACCCACAGCCATTTGTTGAGTCGCCGGAGAGAGATGCTTTTTTACCCGTTGCCTTTGCCCAATTCCAACAGGTCCCTGGGTGTCTGATATGACAGCGTGTCAAGTTGAAAAGGAGAGCAGCCTTTTCAGGTTAATCCGCAGGGGAGTAAGATCGCAGTTGAAGCCTGGCTGTCCTTTTGGGAAAAAACAGATGGCACCAAAGAACTAGCTAAACCAAAGCCCAAGTTTCAACCAAACTGACCAATGGTGTCTTCACTCAGAGTAGCCAGGCCTTGGCAGCCCAAACAACCGTGACCACCACGACGACAACCACCACTTCCACGCTCACCGCCGATGCATTCCTGCAGTCTTGTCTTGCTGATGGCGGAGGTCCGGGGTTCGGAAACGGGATGTCTAAACGGGATGCCCGAAGGACACGATGAAAAAGTTGAAAGGGGATGCCGAGGTCCCAAATAAAGGGCCTTTTTTTTGGTGAACAACCCTGCCTTGAGAGGTCTTTCCCTCCCGGATAGGTGTTGCGCTCGAACTGTTTGCTGCCTGCCTGCGCTTGCTTGCTTGCTTGCTTGCCTGCCTGCCTGCTTGCTTGCTTGCCTGCTTGCTTGCTTGCTTGTTTGTTTGTTTGCTTGTTTGTTTGCTTGCTTGTTTGTTTGCCTGTTTGTTTTTTTGCTTGATTGCTTGTTTGCTTGCTTGTTTGTTCGTTTGCTTGCTTGTTTGTTTGCTTGCTGGTTTGTTTGCCTGTTTGTTTTTTTGCTTGATTGCTTGTTTGCTTGCTTGTTTGTTCGTTTGCTTGCTTGTTTGTTTGCTTGCTGGTTTGTTTGCCTGTTTGTTTTTTTGCTTGATTGCTTGTTTGCTTGCTTGTTTGTTCGTTTGCTTGCTTGTTTGTTTGCTTGCTGGTTTGTTTGCCTGTTTGCTTGATTGTTTGTTTGTTTGTTTGCTTGTTTGTTTGCTTTTTTGTTTGTTTGCTTGTTTGTTTGTTTGCTTGTTTGCTTGTTTGTTTGCTTGCTTGTTTGCTTGTTCGTTCGTTTGTTTGCTTGTTTTGTTTGCTTGTTTGCTTGTTTGTTTGTTGGATTGTTTGCTTGCTTGCTTGTTTGTTTGTTTGTTTGTTTGCTTGTTTGTCTTCTTTATTGTTTGCTTGCTTGTTTGTTTGTTTGTTTGCTTGTTTGCTTGTTTGTTTGTCTGTTTGTTTTCTTGCTTGTTTGTTTGTTTGTTTGTTTGCTTGTTTGTTTGTTTGTTTGTTTGCTTGCTTGTCTGTTTGTTTGCTTGTTTGTTTGTTTGCTTGTTTGTTTGTTTGTTTGTTTGCTTGCTTGCTTGCTTGCTAGTTTGTTTGTTTGTTTGTTTGTTTGTTTGTTTGTTTGTTTGTTGTCTTTATTGTTTGCTTGTTTGTTTGTTTGTTTGTTAGTTTGCTTGTTTTTTTTGTTTGTGTGTTTGTTTGTTTGTTTGTTTGTTTGTTTGTTTGTTTGTTTGTTTGTTGGCTTGCTTGCTTGTTCGTTCGTTTGTTTGTTTGTTTGTTTGTTTGTTTGTTTGTTTGTTTCTTGTGCTTGTTTGCTTGTTTGTTTGTGTTTGTTTGTTTGTTTGTTTGTTTGCTTGTTTGTTTGTTTGTTTGCTTGCTTGTTCGTTTGTTTGTTTCCTTGTTTGCTTGCTTGTTTGTTCGTTTGCTTGCTTGTTTGTTTGTTTGTTTGCTTGATTGTTTGCTTGTTTGTTTGTGGGTTTGTTTGTTTGCTTGTTTGCTTGCTTGTCTGTTTGTTTGCTTGTTTGTTTGTTTGCTTGTTTGTTTGTTTGTTTGTTTGTTTGTTTGCTTGCTTGCTTGCTAGTTTGTTTGTTTGTTTGTTTGTTGTCTTTATTGTTTGCTTGTTTGTTTGTTTGTTTGTTAGTTTGCTTGTTTTTTTTTTTGTGTGTTTGTTTGTTTGTTTGTTTGTTTGTTTGTTTGTTTGTTTGTTTGTTTGTTTGTTTGTTTGTTTGTTTGTTGGCTTGCTTGCTTGTTCGTTCGTTTGTTTGTTTGTTTGTTTGTTTGCTTGTTTGTTTGTTTGCTTGTTTGTTCGTTTGTTTGCTTGCTTGATTGTTTGCTTGTTTGCTCGTTTGCTTGTTGTTTTAGTTTCTTGTTGTGTTTTGGTTTGCTGTGCGTTGTGCTGCGCCGGCAGGGCCTGTTTGCTTGGATGGGGCTGTTGTTTGGTCGACACGGAAAGGAGCCACGCGGGAATGAGTCAAAACGAGGCCCCTTTGGGGATCATTTTTGAAAAGCAGCTGTTTGCATGCTTTGGCAAGAACAGGTTTTCGGCCACAACACCCGGCTATTTTGCGGTCAAGACTCATGCCAGACTGCTGCCATGGAAGCGGGCCAGCGCCTGCAGAAGCTCCCAGATAGGGAGAGAGATCACCTCCCGGTATTCGTCGGTATTCGCCATCACCTGGGTTTGAAGAGTGCAGCTTGGGGTTGGCCGCAAGAAACAACAAATCTCTGTGTTTTCGGTTGGAAGAGTTTCCTCTAGGCGGCTTCCGTGGGCCGCCACCGGTCACGAACGCCGGCACCTACCTGCTGACCTTGTTGCCCTTGGTGGGCCAGCACTGCTCCTCCAACTCCTCGTGTGCCCGAGCTGCATCCGATGGCCCAAGATGGCATTCCGCCCGGGTCTGATGATAGGAGCGACCCAGGCAAAGCGGCAAAGCAGGGGGAGGCCAAGCAGAGATCCGGATGCCGCTGTTAACTGATATTTGTTGGGGCCCGACCACGAAGCATCGTCCCTTTTCATTTTGGACCATTCTTGAAATTGTCGGAAACTCAAATCCGACATAGCAGCTGTCAGTGGTCCAGGGGACAGGTGTGGTGTGGCCAAGTAAGTCCAAGTTTCCCATCATAGTCAGAGTTGTTTGCTTTCGGGATGGCACTGAATGGTTGGGATTTTTTTGCTCGCCCTTTCACCGTCCAAAAGAGGCCCGCCTTTGTCCGCCGTTTTTGGCTGCTTTCTTCGCAGTTTCTTCCCGTCCCTTGCGTCTTTTACTCTTTGCGCGTTCTTTCTGCTGAATCACGCGGGTGTTTGAGGTAGCGAATCCTGTTCCCAGTGTTTTCTTCCGCCGCCTTTCCTTTTCCTTTGTTTGTTTCAAGGAAGTCTGTACATCATGAAGAAAATGGCCACGTATTCTGCCTTCTTCTTTTCTGACCCGAGGAATTTTTCAAAGAAATCGGCCAGCATCTGAACGGAATTGCCTTCTTTTCTTCCTTTTGACCCGAGCCTTCCTCCTCTTCTCTCCAAATTCGTCCAGGGACATGATGTCTTTCCTTCTCCCTTTCCTCTTTTTCTCCTCTCCGTTTTTGCTTCTCCTTTCTCTCCTCCGGCTTTTTTGTCTAAGCCCTTCGGCGGTTCGCTCTCGGGATGCCGGAGGCATGCTGTCGCCCCCGGGCACCTCCATGCTCTGCGCCTCCAGCGCCTACTACCCGGCCACCGACGCCACGGGCATGGCCACGGGCGCGGAGAAGGAGGCGCTGCTGACGAAGCTCTGCGACCCCAACGAGCCGCTGCGCCTCGGAGCGACCGACCGAATTTGTTGGGGCACGGAGTTTCCGAAGCGGCCATAAAGATCACGCGAAAAGGGAGAAGCAGGGGAGGAGGCGACCAAAGACATGTTTTTTTTTGGGTTGGGAACCACATAAAAGAGGGGTACACATCAAAAAGGGAGAACCCAAATAAAGCAGGTTGCAACTTTCTCCGTGGAATGTATTTTTGAACATCACCTCTGTGGCAATGAGAGGCTCCCTGGCAGGTGCTAGGGCTGCTAGGGGACTTATTTCGGGAGGTGCTGGTGTCACTGGCAAGTGAAATATGGCTGTGGGTCAAAACCAATGGTACCATTTTGGGTAGGTGCACCACCCATTCTAGTCTATCTTAGTTGGGATTGGGATGTTTACTGGGGGTACGGGCTTTTGACCCATGGCTGTCTGGGTGTGGCTCAGTTTCCGAACGGGGGATACGCAGGGTTTTGGTCTTGGTTTCCAGCAAGACCAGGGTGCCGTTTTGGGCCCGATGTTTGAGCCGCAGCTAATTTCCCACAAGCAGAGGACGCAGATGTGCGAAGAGCTAGTTTCTCGCGATATATGAGCATGTCCCATATGGGACGCGTATTTCATAGACACGCCTATATGATGCACATCAGCCTGCACCCTGTTGTACCATGTCTTTTTGATCCCTACACTAATAATAGTCGTTTGATCCCTTTCCCTTTCATGGACGGTTGAAGGGAAACCAAAAGAACATCAGTTGGCTGAATTCAAGAAGGCCTATGGGAGGCCACACACAGGGAAGTGACGTAAGATGTTGCAACATGTTTTCATAAATGTTTGGAGTGTTTCAAACATTTTTTCAATTTCCAACATTCTCAAATTGTTCCGCAAGCAAGTCTTATATTCCTTGGAAATCTTCCAAGTATGTTTTTTCCCCAAGTGTTCTCTGAAATATTTCCAGGTATTCTTGAATATGATGCGCCAATTGTCTAGTTATCTCAGAGTGACTCGTGACGATTTGCGGCTTTAGGCTCAGCAGAGTATTTCAATTAGCTATCCCCCCTTACGGAAAATGGAACAGTTAGAACAACTAGCGCAAAGATGAACCTGGAATTCTTTCGCAGGCACTCGTCCCTTTGGGAATAGTTATAATAACTAGAAGAGTTGCAGAAATGATGATAAGTAGAATAGTTAGCACACATGAATTTTGAATTCCTCAAAAGGCACCCGCCCCTTTAGGAATAGTCAGAATACCTAGCGAGTTAGAATAATTGGGACAAACATGAATCTGGAATTCCCATTAATCTGGAGTTCCTGAAAGGGACCCGTCCCGTTGGGTCCCAAAAACAGATGTAGTATTTATAATAGTTTGCAAAACATAGCTCTGTCCTTTCTCCAACTCTTCGAGTTGTTCTAATCAGTCAGAACGAGTAGTTAGATAGAATTCAATGAATTGCAAAAGGCACCGGCCCCTGCCATTTTGGGAATACGTGATTAGCATAATTGGAGACATGATTCTGGAATTCCCAAAATGGCGTCCCTCCAGTCTGGGAATAGTAAGAAATTAGGTGAACTTGAATAGTTTCCGGAACTAACAATTAACATGATGGGCATGCATCCCTATGGGAACAAATTGAAATAACTCACATGACTAGAAAAAAGCAAAGGGTGTTATTCAATCGATGTTTAATGCGTCTGATTTGTTAGAATGATTTAGTACCTAGAACAATTCGACACTGTTATTTCTCATCAGGGGCACCCGCCCCTGCATGAACAACAAGTGAAATGATTGGACTAAATGGACAACATACGGCGATGTTTCAAATTGTGCAAGTTTTAACCAAAAAAACAGAAAACATGTCGGGCTGCGTGTCTTCGTCTTCCTTTAGTTATTCGAAGCAATTCGACCTACCCCAATACTCATACCGATTTAAACACATCTGCAATTTCCCAAAGGGCACTCACCCCCTCGGGACTGATTCGAATAGCTAGAATGATTATTGCAAGTACATATTGGCAAATATGAATCTTGATTTCCTGTCCCTTTTGCAACAATTAGCATACTGGGAAACATCAAAGAAGTAGAAACAATAGAGACCACGCACTGAGTCTGGATTTCCTCAACGGTGCCCGTTTCTTCGGGAATATTTAGAAGAACCATAATCTTAAGGACAATTAGACGAATTAAACCAAATGCATCCCAAAAGGCTCTCTTTCAGAATAACTAGTAAAAGGGCATGTTGATCCATTATTCTGCTTGATTAGAATGCCTAGGATAAGTAGAGATCAATCAAAATAACAGTTTGGCAGATTCCGAAAGGTCACCCGTCCTTTTGGGAATAATTAGCATAATCCGAATAATCAGAACACGATAATGTGGACATCCCCAAGAAAGCACCCACCCTATAGGTTAGTTAGAAATATTACAATTAGAAGAACAGTGAGTCTGGATTTCTCAAAAGGCCCCCGTGCCTTTGGGAAAAATATTCAAGTAAGTAACATAATGATGAGAAGTAGAATGACAATCTTGACTTCCCTGCAAGGCACCCGGCATTTGAAAATAGCTAGAATGGTTTAGTAGAATTGCGAGAATGATTAGGCTGGCTAGAACAACCATGAATATTGATGTGCCCCAAAGGGAATTACGAGAACGACGATAAGAAGAATTAGAGCAAATATAGATCTGGACTTCGCGAAAGGGCTCTCGTCTCTTGGTGACCAAATGCACGGGGGTGGGAAATCCTCCCGCGCGCGCGCGCGCCACACAGGGTAGAATCTTCCGTGCCACGGGGGGGCGGGTGGGGGGGTGGGGCGGGAAGTGCCAGGCTGTTTTTCAACCCTACCTGTATTTGATGTCGATCCCGGATTCAGAAACCTGGGCGACACGATAAAGCCACAGCTCAACGCAAGCGGGTGTGTACTTAAAGCCGGGAACCCTTTGGGTACTCTGTTCAACATGAGTCAAATGGTGCCGCAATTGGACACGCAGTTGAAGTTTGCGGATATTTGGCAGGGATTCTGCGCGAGGACTTTGAGTCAGCACTTTCCAGCAGTTGAGGAAGTGAGACATCTCGGGGCTCCGAGGTTTGGTCAAAACCCAGAGGACAGTGGGGTCCGTGGGGTTTCGGTTGCCGGTTCCGTTCTGTGGTACCAAGGTTTGTGCTTTTGCAGGGAGAACGCCTTTTCACAGGAACTGCCCATTCGGGTATCACGGAAAGGGTTGTTCTCCGCAAGCCTTGGCTCCGGATCGAGGTGGTTCAATGCCAAGAACACCTTCTTGCCCATAAGCTTCGACTGCGCCAACCGGATGCCTGGCGTTCCAGCGCTTTCGGTTACGAAGAACATGTACTCATGAATACTTTGTCCGGGAAAAACGTGATCCCTTCGATCAAAAGGCCTTCCCTGGTTGCAGGATTTTGTCAAGCTTGCTATCATGTGCTGAGGGTAAAAGGCCGAAGCTGATGCAACTTCCAATGGACCCTGGTTGCTGTTCACCCGACTTGTCGCCCATGCCGCCTCAGCAATTGGTGAATTCAAACAAACATCTCTCCTCTCATGGCAAGGCGTTTGAATTGATCAGCTGACAACTTCTTGCCACGATGTCTTGAAGACCATGAGGGGATCGCCCTCCCCCGCAACACCGGCTCGCTGGGTCAACAAATGCACAGGTCGCGCATGGGTGGTTCGGACGCTGCTTGGGCAATTATTGGAGACCACTCTTTTTGTTGGGTCTGCCATATTGTTTTGGGCCTATGTTACATGTCCAAAACCGGAGGACAGACATAGACAGCGTCGTCCGTGGCTCAGGAAGAGCAAGTACGCCATCGCCCGCTTCTTTGCAGGTGGGACGGGGAGGATCCGAGAGAAAAATGGCCACTGGCCGTGTCTCGATGCTCGGGGGGTTCTTTTCGTGGTCTTAGGATTTTGGATGGTCGTTTCCCTCGTGGCACCCGGGGCTGACACTACTTAAAAACAGAGGCCGAGTGCGGCCAAAATCATGTATTCGTCTGTGTTTTCGGCCTGGACACACCCGTCTGTTTCAGGTCAGAATTGGTTGAACATCGGATTTTGCTGGTTTCAGTTTGGTTTCATTGATTTGTCCAGAAGCTCATTTAGGGTCGTTTCCAGGAAAGTTCGCATGAGTGCTCCCCCGAATACGGGACCCCCTAGAGAGTGCAGGGTTCCCATGCAGTGGGTTTTCCTTCAAACAGCAATTCAAAGGCTGTTTGGGATTTCCTCAATCCTTAGGTACTCGTGGGTTCTCTTGCTGCTACAGATTACGGATTACAAAAGTCGGGATCCCCCCAATTTTAAACAATTTGCCAGAACAGGGTTGTTGTGGGATCAAGGGGTTTGTCCCCTCTGTGAGACATGGAATCTCGCCCTTGGCGGTTAGTCCCTTGTTGTATCAAAGTGGATTCCATTTCCCACAGCCCTGCGCCAGAAGGTTCGCCCAAGCCACTTTTTTGCTTCGCGCACCAGGCGCTCCCAGCGAGGATGAGGACGAGGCCAAGAGGTTCCAGACGGGATACGTGGAGGGCCGGTCCGGGTGGTACGCCAAGGCCTCTCAGATCGAGGCCGGGAAGGCGGAACGTGTGCCAACATGCAGGTGTCCTAAGGTATATAAGCTCAATGAGAACAGACATCTTATGTGGACCAACATGGGAGAAGCTTGCGTTTTCTTCTCTTGTTTTTCTCTTTACGAATGCAAACTGCGAACACATGGCCTTTATATCTGAGAAATATTCAGCTGGAGGTGTCAGAAAAGTTACCGCAGGGATCAAGGTGCGATTGGTGGGAGTTGTTTTCGGTTGCTGTGACGATTTGTTGTGTTTTGCGGGGAAGGTGTTTTTGAGATGATGCTGTGACGTTTTGGTTCCGTTTTCCGAATGCGCCAGTGATTTGTTGCTTGATTCTTGCTCGGCGCCCTTGCTTTGATTGCTCATGGCTTGCCTTTGGTGCGCTTCGTTTCAGCTGGTCGCCGGAGGCTTCGACCGAGGGTGTGGGGAGATGCTGCGAGTCGCCGCACATAATCACGTGACGATTCCTGCAGAGTTCCGAAGACCGTAGCACGGGAAGTGGGATCCAAGCAGTCCTTGGAGCTCCCGCTTGGCAAGGGGCCCTTTCAAATTCATCAGATCCTGTCACCTTTCTGTGAAGATGATTGATACATAGTCCATAGTCTTTATTTCCCTGAAAAGAAAACACGATCTAGACCCCCTATTTGCCACAAACAACCAGAAAGAGACTCCACCAACTACAACTGCCGATTTTTTTTTGTTCCCGAGGCAAAATACGAGCGGGAGCACGGCAGCAAGCTCCGAATCATGCTGTTCTCAGGCGGCCGCTGACTTGCGGCTTTGGGTTCGTGCTTGTCCTTGAAGGGAAAGATGGGGAACCCCCTTGAGTCACGGAGCCTTGGCGACGGACCAACGTCAAGTTTGTTGACAGGACGACTTGGGCTTGTAGTGGAAAGCCCGTTTGGATCCGATGTCCAATGGAACGGCTTCTTTGGGCTGATTGTAAGGTCCTTTTCACTGAACAGACAAACACGAATGACCAGAGAGGGCTTTGTCTTGTGCCACGAGACAAGCGAGGCCATGTCCGGGACGAAATGCCACTTTGTTTGCCCAACCAAGCTTGCATGGCGCGAGTAGGTGGCGAAAAAGCATTGCAGAATTCTGCGTTTTCCTTTTGGTCAAGCCACAAAAGGGCACCGTTTTGGGCACCCTCCAAGACTCATCACATCCAGTTTCAGAACTTGCCAGTATTGGACAGGGCTTTCCTTTATGGGTTGGCATCAGAGTTGGTTAGCCAGAAATGTAGGCCTGAGCGGAAGTGAACCTTAAACAATGAAACGATGGGGTTTGGGAATGATGAGTGAACGAAATGCCGCGAAGAAACCTCACACAGGACGGATGACCGATTGACCCTTGCTGTTTTGGACCGGCGCGGTCCCGACCGCCTCTTTCAAACGCGGGTGCCCAAAAGGACACTCTGAAACATATCCATCATACGTGGTTTCGTATTTCTATCATAGTTGCTATTCGCTTTCCGATTTTGACTGCCTGAGCAGACTTCTTGCAGGTCACAAGGATGCATAGCATTTGATGGATACTGCCAACAACAAACCCCGACTTGCGTGCCTCCCAGAACAGGGAAGCCCCCTTTTGATTGTGCGCTTACTTCCGTTTCCCTTCAAAGCCATCCAACAAATGCGATTCCCCATGTATGACGCACCCAATGTACCGCAAACCGAGCATCACATTCCTTAGTTTCCTAGCCGCCCCATCTTGCCATGAAAGAACAAGCAACCCAGGGCAGGGGAAACTTTTGGCTTCAAGAGCTGTTGCCAGTGGCAACATGCAATGCAGGAGAACACAGCAATTGCAAGGGATTTAGCATTCACAAGCAGCACTTCAAACGTGTTGAAAGGATTGCATGGTCCCGTTGTCTGCAAATGCTCCTTGCCTGCAGACATGCGAAATGAACATGCATCGCCATCTTCAGAATATCTATGCAGGGCGACCGCTTTTGGCGTGCCCTCCGACTTGGCGCAGCAAAACCGACTTTCGTCGCGACCGCGTCCCTTCCATTCCCGGCTTGCTTGCTAGGTGCTACGGTCATCGCGCAGTATCTGCAGATCTTGGCCATCGACGGATTCCTGTCCTTCGGGTCCCTCATCTCCGTGTGGCTCTACATGTGGCCGCCTGGCGAAAATTTCCAGCGAGAGCGGCGTCACATGGCGAGTGAAAACCCTGTACCCCTGGTGAACATCAAAATAGGTGGCGTATGGGTGTTCATCCGCCCAAAAATGGAGGCATAGGTTATGACCCATGGCCACATGCTCAGAAACATGTGGGAGGTTGCCGATGTTTGTTGCATTTCATGCTGTATGCTCCCATCGGGGGTTGTCAAAATTCGGGGTTCGGTATCCCTTGAAAGGCGGCACGCAGTGGCACCGGAGTCCACACAGGGCCAATATTTTGGCAACCACGTTTGGGATATGTGCTGGTTCATGACTTCTCCGGTTTCCGAATGTGTCCTGGTGAGCGCGACGATTTCTGGGTTTCTGTACTGAAGATGGATTCTCAGATCCACCGCCAAGCTTGCCAGAACGTGCTACACTTCCTTCCGCTAAATGTAGTAGCTGTGTGAGGCTACCTGGAAGGACAAATCCTTTTGAATTCTGAATGGACTCTGCGTAAGGTGCCGATGGTAATGGACAGTGTGGTTTACCCTAGTTTTGATGATCGTCTTGTGTGTGGGGGTGCGCTGCCACCAGAGGGTCAATTCAGTCCGGAAAAAAAGGGCAAACGTGACAGCGGTGGGGTATCCGATGGCCATCCTCAACTCGGCTCATTGAGACCTCTCGAGGGTAACGAGGAATCCTTCGCGAGATCAGCGAACCAGCAAGGTGCGCACGCCTGGCCCAAAAGATGAAAGCCACAGATGTGATCAACTGGAAGAATGGCTCAAAGGGCAGTTGGCAGGTAAAAAGGCAAGGCCCTTGCTCAGCTTGCAAGCCTCAGCCGAGACAACGCAAGCAAGCATGCCAGCAAGCCCAGTGCGGAGGCCGATGCAGAGGCGAGCGGTGCACATCAACCCCGTCGGGATATGCAACAACCATTGATTCATAAGGCTGTGGCTCCAAAAAAACGGTACCAAAATGGAACCCTGGTAAGTGGAAACATGGACCAACACCTGCGGTTTGCCCCTCCTGTTTAATTTTGCCCCACAGCCATAGTGCCGCCTTGGGAAACCACACAGGACACAGCTGAGTTCTCGCGCAGCGAGCTGAGGTTCATGCTGGAGAGCCTGTTCTTGGCCTCCTGCGGCATGTTCGAGATCGTGTTTTCCTTGCCGGTGGGCATGTGCTTGTGGGTCCTCGTGCTCGGCAACAAGATCTTTTGGTACCAGATGTTGGCAGCTTGGAGCAAACATAGGGATGGCTTCCTGTGCCAAAGCCAGATTGCATTTTTGGGTTGCGCTCCTGCTCCTTTGAGGGTCCAATATGTCTTTCATGAGGAGCGTGTTCCCTTTTTCGCCTCGCGCCGTTTGAGGGGTTTTGCAGTTTGTGAGAGGTATTGTCTTTGGACCATGCAGTTCAGGGAGGCGCCATTTCTAGGTTGACCGCTGGTTGCTGGCCCAAAGGCCCACCATGGTGAAGTCTTCTTGCACTAGAGGTTCCTTAAGGATGCATCCTTGTCATGTTTGCAGAGAGTCCTGATTTCAGGTTTGATGAGCATGTTCTGGGGAATGCAGCGCAGCTAGAGGGGCTAGATTTCGTTTGGTTTGGGGGGTCACTTCAACAAGGACTGATCTGGGATTTGAGAGTCACGTTTCGGCCCAAAAATATGTTTTGCTGACAAGTGTCTTGAGACATAGTTTGACAAATGCAGCAATATCAAGTGCCTGCCCCCTTGTCGTGATTCCTCAGGAATCTGGGCAGCCTCCTTTCAAAAGGTGCCAGCAGTGCAGGGTGTTGGTGACCCCCAAGTCATCATGTTGCATTCGGCCATGTTGCTTCTCTTTTCTTGGGGGCCTACCTCCTATCGGAAGTCGCACGCTTACCAGGTGATCTACATGATTCTGGGCATCGGCGCGGACGACGTCTTCATTCTCTACGACGCCTGGCTGCAGTCGGCCCACGTGGAGGGAGTCAAGGAGTCCATTCAGAGCCGCTTCAGCTGGGCCTACCGCAGGTCCACCCTGGCCATGCCGCTTGGCGAAGTCGGCCGAAGCCGCTTCGACCCCGGAAGTGGATTTCCGTGGGTCAAAACCCAAATCGTACCCTCAGTGAACATCCCAATCCAACCACCAAAATAGGTTCTAAAATGGGTGGTGCACCTATCCCAAAATGGTACCATTGGTTCGAAACATGGCCAAATGGAAGCGAAGTGACCGCCCTGGAAAACTCACACCAGACCCCCAGATAGCATTGCTGCAAGGGCCGCTCCTGCATGTTGTGCCTCCTGACTCTGACTAGCCCTGACCAGCCCTGGCCAGCACTCTGATCTGACCGGCGACGAAGAATCCTTGGCCAGCACGTTGACCAGCACTCACCCTGGCTGTCATCACCAGCACCATTACCAGCACCCTCACCAGCACCCAGCATCCGCAGGCTTCCCCCCACCTCGGAAGCAATAAGAACACCTATAGCTAAAGCTATCTGGGGAATCACTAACAAAAGGCTTACATTTGACATGTTTTGCCAAAGGTGTCGGACTCCTAACCACGATGTTTCCACCATACGGCCGCCTTTTAAAGAGCGTTTCAATTTGCCCCGCTCGGCTTGGGTTTTTTTGTAGGCGACCCTGGACAAAATACAAGAGAGAGCCGACACCAAGCTTGTTGAAGCCACAGGTGTTGTGACTTGACCACAAACCAATTGCAGACGTTTCCCGCAGAGAGCCACAAGCGCTAGCAAACTGAACGGAGTTTGACGCCTGAGGGCGCTTTCTCCCCGCAAATGGTTGCGCCCTTTGGGTTTCCCTTGAAATGGTTGCGAATTTGCGAGATCCTCAACATGGTTGGGTCAACAACAGCCATAGTTGAAGAATTGCTTGGGTTTCCTTTGGGCTTTTGCCCCCCCCCCCTCCCCTCCTCCCCCCGCCCCCGCCCCCCCCCAAACAGGTTTGTCTTTTTGGCTTCCAAATTCGGGTTCGGCCCCGCTTCAAGCGGCAGGCTCATCACTACGCTCACCACCTGCGGCTCCTTCGCCATCGGCGCCACCTCCCCGCTGCCGCTGGTGCAGAGCTTCTGCATCTTCGCGGCTGTGGTGGTCATGGTGGACTACCTCTTCTGCATCA